CAGCTGGCGTTGGGACAGCGGGAGGGAGGAAGATGCCCGGGGCCCGGGGGTGGGGGTGGTCGGGCCGGCCGTTGATGCGCGCAGCCATGCTCTGGCGTCCTTCTGGGCCTGCGGGGCCTCTCCCCAGCGGTTTGCGTGAGGGATGACCCAAGTGCTACGTTCCTGTCGTCTGCTAGTATAAGCCACCTTCTTTAAAGTTAGATCCAAAGAATGGTTGTTGTCAGAGTTGGTTTTCCTCCTCGTCTTTTGTTCTGGGTTAACGTTTGTGTCCCGCTAGATTATTGTTTAAATAGGCCCGTTGAGAACGATGGTGAGACAGGACGGGCAGAAATGCTTGCACTAGGCGTTTGCAAGGTACTTGGATCTCTGTTAGCCAAGTATATAGCCGTTGCTTCGTAGTTTTTTCTTGATCCTGAGATATGAGGAATGTTCGGTTGGACAACAGCTGAACAAGCCTGAGCTTTAGTAAGCTGATTCTTGTAAGAAAAAAGAAGACCTTGATAAGCTTGGTCCCGTTCTCAAAGGGGTTCTTGAGGAAGACATCTCATGTTTGCATTCAAAGGTTTCCAAAGCTTTTTTTGCAACCCTGTGCTCTACTGAATTAATGAGGTCCTTAGTGTTGGTTGCTGCTATGTCAGTTGTTAATTTTCTTAAGGGTTAACACCGGGGAAGAAGGGAGTGAGGAAAGGAAGCTTCTAGTAATTTGTTTGCTTTTAGTCATCTAAAACTCTGCTTCTAACAATATTATTTAAAGCCCAAAATAATAATAAGATTTCAGTCTCGGGAATTTGGTGGGAGTATTTGGTGACAATATTCTTGTCACCTGCTGAGTGTTTCTATTGGAAATCCTGACAAATGGCACCTGCAGATAATACCGGACACTTTGTACATGACTGTACTGACCTCCTTTGCCTGCAACACCAAATCTTTCTCTACTTACAGGTCAGTTACACACTAGGGCTGAAGTTTACTGGGTATTTCAGAAAGCTGAGACAAAGTAGGTAGCTTGGGTGATCTTGCTTTCTAGTCCCAAGGTGTAGTGAACAAGCAGATGCTGTTTTGAGTATTTCTTTGACATGATGTTGCAAGATACAGGTATACTTTTGTTCTTTGCTTCCTGACACTTTCTTCCATGTTCCCTACCTTCTTACCTCTTGTGGATTTCCCTCAAAAGATAGTCATAAAACAGACACCTAGGAACTACTGACTTTATAGACCTCGAAGTGGATATGTAATACTAAAGTTTTGGCATCCACAGAAAACCATGTGTCATAACGGAATGTATATATCTCTTGCTTAGCTTTCCAGTACTCTTTAGGGCACGGACTGGTGAGTTGTCCAAGTTTCCAAGTTAGTTTTTCAGCCTGGGTGTTGGAGGTTTCTCTGTTATGTTGCGTAGAATTTTCTGAAGACAGTGCTTGTCTCAATAAATCAAAGTTTAAATTCATGGAGCCGATGTACACACATTCTGGTTCTCTAATTTCTGTCATGGATTTCTTATTACATTTGCGTAATTATTTGTTTAAAGAAATGACCTAGTTATTCAGAAAACTGTATATAACTGTTTAAGTTGTTGTTTTTTTCATATTCTGTTTGGTTGGAAGACAGAAGGGCACCCTATGATTTTCAAAATTCAGTTGTGACTTTTGTTGTGTATAGGTTCAGATGATTAAAAATAAGACTGATCTATTGGGGGGTGGGTCTCTGGGGTTTCTCTTTTTCTAAGTCACGTCATACTATGTCTATTTAACTTAACTGTGGGCTCAGATGGGAAAATCACACACTTTCTATACCTCAAATTTGCACTATTCTGGTCCTCCTTCCTGCATAGCATCTATGGACTTTTCTGTTACTGTCTTATTTGCTTTCTTGCATCTATTAATTCTGTGTATGAATCCATGTTGCCTGGATTCAGAATCATTTGGCAATTTATTTAGCTTTTTTTTTTTCTAATTGCTTCTATCTGTCTTTTGTCCCTTTTCAGGAGTGATTGTTTATCTCTCTCTTTTTTTTTTTAACTGTGTTTTTAAGACAGGTCTTGTAATTAGAATGTAAATTCCCAGTGAATGTCTGTCAACATCCGTGCACTGCTACAATTTATAAATACACTTGTAATGTGCAGTTATGGATCACTGGAATGTCAGATAGTGTTCATACTGTAACTAAACAAATGCATAAGCTGACACAGAAGTGCAATAATGATTAAAATTATATTGGAAAGGTCATACTAAATCAAATGAAGATTTGCCAACAAGTTATGTGAAACTAAATGATCCGTAGCAGTTTATACTAGCCAATTTTTTTCTCTTGGGTTGCTGCACAGAAAAGTGACCTTGGAAATGCACTGTTTTGCTTTTCTTTAAGTTTTTTTAAGAGATCTTTGTGAACTTGAGTACTCTGAGGAGTGATGACTACTGTCTGTGTATTGATGTTATCAAGCCACATTTAAAAGAAACTTGAGAGTTCTGTTTAGCAACACCTAATTGATGAAAGTTTCTCTTTCAGGTGGAAATAAGGATAACATCAGAGCAGGATGCAAGAAGTGTGGTTATCGTAAGTCTGTAATAAGCAATATGAAGTTACAGTGTTTTCCTCAATTTATGATGTTGGAACTGCCTTTTGAGGAGGGGGAACAAAAGAAAAAAAACTAGCATTCTCCTGTGTTGGCCAGACGTTTGTCAGTTGAATTTACCATAATTTTATTTATTCCCTATTCATTCTCTGGCTCCTCACCTATTGCAGCTTTTGAAACCCTTGAGTTTCTCAGAGAAAAAAAAAAAGTATGCTATTGTGTTCATATGTACTACGTTTGCAGTGAAATCACTTGAGAAACTTTGAATTGAAAGCATGATCTTTGATATCTGCTGAGATGAGCATTCATGCTTCTGAGTCTCACTGCAAACTTAGGCAGGCATTTCACCTCAAGTTAAGTACAATCTGTTTTAAAAGGAAAAATAATTTTAAATCTGTATGATCTGTACGCTAAGAAACCATACTTTGTGCCTTCTACATTTCAAGAAACAGTTAATTTTGTTACTTCAAGTTCAGTAGTTAGTGTTTAGCTCGTGCTTTGCATTATGCTCTGATCATGTAAGCATGTCTGTCACTACTCTCCTGATGAATGGAGACAGGTCCTAGATTTTATTTTGTTAATCCCTAACTCTTTATTTTTTATAACGTTGGAGGGATGGGCACTGTTTTTGCAGTGACTTGTGTTGAACTTTTAACAGAGTGATTTAATCTGTATTTTTATGAGCATTATGTGACCAGGGCGGGGAGCAAAGGGGGGATGTTTGCTTTGTTCTTTCTCTGTAGACTTTGTCTCCAACAAATTTTGTCAATGAATTGCTCTGTGCATCTGTTCTTCCAAAGGAACATGGATATCAGTATAGATTTAGTGCTTCATATCTACATGCAATAAGCATCAGAAGCTTTCTGAAAGAGAGGGAAACTTGTAGTTAAATCATACAATTAGTATTTATGTTCCTAAAAGCTTTGTCTTCAAGGTGTAGGTATTTTGCTATGAAGAAGATGAGTTTATGTCAATTGCTACTTGGATTCCTGTGTCTTTAGCCTAGCCTTTTTTTACTTCTCAAAACTGAATAATACTAAAATGGGTGTTCTTTAGTTTCTGATATGTTTTTGGTGAATTGTAATTTTTCTTTCTGAATATCTGTTTTTTCAGCTGGTCATCTGACATTTGAATGTCGAAACTTCCTCCGAGTAGATCCTCAAAGAGATATTGTTTTAGATGTTAGCAGCACCAGCAGTGAAGACAGTGAGGAAGAAGAACTACAGAGATTGCAAGCCATGCGTGAAAAAAAGAGTAAGGTGTTTTGCTTTTTTTCTCCTAGAGTGGATTGGATAATGGTCTTCAAAGTACTGGAACTGTCATTTTATCCTTTTTTTTATAACTGGTATTTGTTTTTTTAGCCTGTGCTTTAAAATTATGTCTTTTACTTTATGTGTTCAGACGTAAGAGATTTGATACACCCATGGTTTTTATTATGAAGCCCTGTCATAGGAAATTAATAATGTACCCATTTGGATCATCTCAAAAAGGACTTCTAAATAAAAAAGAATATAAGACTGTTACTAAGAAGCTGCTTAGGAGAAAATGACATGGATGTTCTGAGTTAAGCTTTTGATTATGGCATGTAGTTTAAACATCTTAAAGTTGACACTAACTCTTAAAACTAGTAACAAATAGAACAGCTGAATTTCTCTCCAGTTTTTAATTAGTGTTTTGATTGAAACAGCTAGTGAATTGAATTTAAATGCTTATATTTGGAGAAGTACTATTCTCTGTTTGGAAGGTCTGAGCATCAACTGTTTGTCAGAGAGAAGGTACTTAGCAGAGAGAGGGTTATTTAGCAGATACTTGAGTTCATTGAATTTGGACTCCAATGACACTGTTCCCCAAGAAGGGAAGGTTGTTCCACCACAGCATGTTTTAAATGAATGAATGTTCTTCCACTCTGCTCCTTGAAACATCATGTTTTGTTCTGTTGCTCTCACATTCCAAACTCAACATTCAGTTCCTACTAAAGATTCTATTTAGGAAGAAGAAGGGAAAAAGACCCTGCAATTTGCTGGATCGCTTTAAAAGAAATGGATAGTCTGTTTGTCAGGAGCACTAAATTGATACTGCAACGGTCCTTTCTTGGAACAAGTCTCTTTGGAAAAACTTGTTCCCTCTTATTATGTACTTTTGAATGTAAGGGCTTTTTTTGGCCCTAAACTGATTGAAGATGCATATCTGCAGGAAAAGCAGCTGTTTACTTGATCTCTTTGTTTATTATATGTTCCTTTTCAAACTGGCCGCTATGTGTACTGTAAGAAGATATGTATCTTTACCTGTCAATAATCTAGGCAGGATTTTACCATTTTCGAGTGGCCTCATCTTCTCAAGATTTTTTGCACTATGTGCACTTAGATTTTTGCACCGTTTTCTTAAAAATACACTGATTGCTTCTTCACATGTTCTTGTTCATGGTTTTTAATGGCTTCAAAAGTAATTTGCTTCTTGTAACTCACGTTGAATTTTTTCACATTTTGCTCCAGAACTCACAGACTGGTAGTTTCTATTTGTGGTAGCAAATGAATAATTGCACTAGTGTGCAGACTTTATGGAAAGTTATTTGTGTGATAGGAATAATATGGAATGCTCAAAATGTCCCTTCCAACCTAAACCATTCTATGATGATTCTATGAAGTTAGCTGTGTGTTTTAAGGATAAATTGTAAAGACAGTATTTTCCTGGTAGCTGACATTGTAATCTGTATTTATGTAGTGAATTTGCATTTTGGAGAATTCAAAAATACTTTTTGAACCGGTATAGAAAAGTCTAAGGTCAGAAATTTTATCAGTGTGATAGAAATATTGCTTGTAAGTGAAATGTGAAGATACTATACAATATTATGCAGTGTTAGGGCTGGAAACAAACGTGACCAGATGAGGGGTGACTATTCAGCCAATTTTTGTAGACAGTATATTGACAGTTAACTCAAGTTTATCTTAGTTATGGCATAGCTATTTGTGAAGTGTGAAATGAGGATGCGTGAAAGTAATTCAGGTAAGCCTAAGGGAATATTCTTTTTTTTTTTTGGTACGTTCTAGTTAAATGACCTGTTTTCATACTTGGGTAGGTCTTTTATAATACAGGAGAATGGATATGAAACCTAAAGCTTATGTAAAAGTATAGGAAAAGTCACAACTTTTTGCTATGTTCTACAGGCCTTTCTTCATTCTTAGTGCTTAGATCAAAGTCATTAGAATGTAAATTGTATAAAGAGTTCTGCTGCTCTACAAAATATTTCTGAAATTACTATACTAGACCAGAATTTGGAGAGAGGAAAAGAAAAACTTTTTACAAGAATTTTGTAGTAACTTTACATTGCTATCGAAGCCACTCTTTTAATGCTGATCTTAATTCAGACAAGTGTTTTGTAAACTGTAACTTTTTATCCATAGATTTAAACGAGGAGGAAGAAAAAAAGAAACAAAAAAGAAAAAGCAAAGAAAAAACAAAATTAAAGAGACCAAGGAAAAGGTAACTCAATCACACACCTATTTTGATTTCAAAACAGAACTGTAGAAATATTTCTGATGTTTGGGTTGTTTCTCAGAAAACAATACTTCTTTTGATGCAACTTTATTTGCAAGTACATCTTTGGTTTGAAAAGTTTCCCGCTTTGAAGCGAGAACTTGTTTGTTTTCTGAGTAATGGTAAAGCCAAGGCTTTCTGCTGTGGACTTAGGACTGTGGAATTCCAGAAAGCTCTAGCAAGCTGGAGGTCTGCAGATCTGAGAAAGCAATGCTCCGCGCCCTCTTGACTATCCAACACTAGGCAAGATGTGGTTGAGAGGAACAAGGAGTCAGGAGGATTATGGAATTGGTCCCCATCTTAGGTCACATGGAGAAGCCTCCCTGCCATTCAGAGACCCTAGGATTCCCGTCATGCACGCACGCATGCGTGTAGACAGGCACGCTTTAGGTAACGTGTAGCTATCAGAAGGAAAACTTCTGTAGTTTTACTTAGCATGTGTTGAATTTTAATATTCCTGTTACTGTAGAAGCCTAAAAAAACTGTTAGTCCAGTCTCAAAGGAAAATGTTGTAATATGCAAATTTATTGTGAATCTGAGTTTTGGTCTGCTGACTGATTTTTATTTTTTTTTTTAGATGAAACTATAGAGTGGTTAGTCATTAAGACTGTTGATGAGACAATATCCCAGGAACTGCATGGAGAGCTAGTGAATGTATAACATATTTGAAGGCCATAATAAGATGGTTTTCAGAAGTAAGGAAACAGGATTTAACACTGGTTATATTGGCATTTTTCCCCTTTCTTATTTATGTAGTGTAGCTCTGACTTACACTTAAGAAGATGGTAGAAAAGAGTCAGTCTTTACATGCAAGTAATTTATAGTTAATCGTGTAAACAATAGCCCAAAACTGCACTCTTGAGTGTAATAATCGTGCCTTTTCTTTTATTATCATTTTAATTCTTGTATGTATGTAGTCATGCTGGTTAGAGATCAATATTACCGGCTGCAAGAGCATCCAAATTTGTCAGACCTGTTTCTCGTAGATTTTTACATGAGAGAAATACATTATGATTTGTCTGAAGGCATTAATGTAGCATTGTTACTGACCATGTGATATTTTAAAAGCTGGAAGTTCTATCTTACTGTCATACTTTCAGTTTTCTGTCAGTCCGTAGTCTTAGTTTTTTACTTATTAAAAGTTGAAAACCACAAAACTTTTCTATTCCGTTGTTAATTAATCTGTATTATAAACATACTGCTTTTCTGGCACAATAGTCTAGAAAAGTTGTCATTCAGTTGAACATGCAGACTGAGATATTATAAGCTTTCTGGTGGATGCTATTTTACAAATTCTACACCAAATTCAATTTGTGACATTATATAAATACTGAAATTTTAAACCACAGTATTCTTGTGGCATTTCCTTCTTTAATTATGTATCAATCTGTATCTACATATTTTTTTGTTTTTACTAGATCTTCCTCATCAAGTTCAGCTGAAGAGGATGGGCAAAAGTCAAAAAAACAAAAATCACACAAAAAAGAAAGGGAAAAGGAAAAAAAGAGTAAATCTAAGAAAGGAAAACATCGTAAAAAGGAGAAAAAGAAGAGACGAAAGGAAAAGAGTTCATCTTCTGATAGTTCAGACAGTTCTAGTAGTGACTGAGTTGGTGGCCTATTTTTGCTTTCAATTCTGCAGGGAAGATGGTTTTCGTTTCAAGTAAAATTTATTTATGCTTTGCAATGCTGTTGTTTTAAAATGAGATATATATATTTTTAAGAAATCTATTTGCAAATATCAGTGCTTCGAATTATTAAATGAACCATTTGGGAAAAAATCTGCTCTTCTATTTCATGTTTATTAGTACTGAACCATGCAAGTTTAACTAGTTCTTCACTCTTATTCTTAGTTCGGTTGTGATTAGCTGTGTTTGGAATCCTTTACACTAGGATATGGTAAACTTCAGTTTCTAAGTCTTTGTGTAGAAAGATTTGGACTTCAGTATACTTAATGTCATAATGGTTAAATGAGATTTGGAAATTCAAGTGAGATTTTCTGTTATGTTATCCTTTAAATAAATGTATGTTTTGCATAACATTTTCTACTTACATACATTAATCAATAAGAGCAAATATGAAATAGTCCGGCGAAGGGAAAGAATGAGCAATGAGAAGCTAAAAGAGATTGCTTCTTCAAAATTATCTTCTAAAATTGATCTAGTCATAGACTGTGAAACACAATTACTCATCCTTTTGGCAGGATCACTGTGAGCAAGCTGAAAACAAACAAAAGCTATTAATTTTTTTAAGTCCTTTCTTTTTGCCTAGGTTTTGTTCTTTTATAATTACAGCCATTTCATCTTTTACATAGATATAAAATGCCACTTCCTAACACTGGATAACTGTCTGGCAAGATTGTTTACGAAGTTCGAAGAACCATGTTAATACAGTATGTGGTGATTAATGAATACACGAACCAAACCAGGAAATTCAACAACTGACAATTGACAAGAATTGTGAAGCCTCCATTCATTCTAATAAAACTCCCATTGAAAAGTAAAAAAACTAAACAAACCAACCTCTTGTGAAATGTAAGCAATCTGTCATGTTGAAGTCGGTAGAAAATGATCATTTGCTATCAGGAGCAATGTTAAGTATGTCAAAATTTTATAACTGAATTCTGGGGTATCCAATTCATATCTTTTACTGTGGTAGGGTACTGGTTCCAGACAGACTGATGCTTTTGAATTGAACAAATTTTAGGTATATAATCCTACCCAAGAAATGCCTAAACTGTAAAGTGCCTATGTTTACAGCTTCTTAAAAATGCTCTTCCTGCCTGTGGTTTCGTTTTTTTTTTTTGCTTAGACCCACAACTGCTTCCACCTGAGCAGCTTGGCATACAGCTGCAGTGTAAGTCTCATGGGAGTCAAAATAGGAGGAAGAGCAACACATAAGCTTTCTTAACAATAGTATCCATTGCCTATGTTTTCAACAGTGGGTTAAAGCATTGAGTGACTACAGAATGTTTTATTGTTGACGCGGAAGCACGGACAGATACACCACGACCATTATGATCAGTGTAAATGCCACTTTATTGCACAGATAGCTCAGCTAATATAGACAATTTTCTTCTGCACCACGCAACACTCAAGCAATAATTGGTTACATGCATAGTTCAAACAAGCATCTCTACTATATGATTGGCTAGCCCCAGCTGTTCACTCACCTAGTTATCTACTTCTATGTTTTAATTAAAATCCTGCTTATCGGTACATTCAGCAACAGTTCTTTCCTCCCTCAACATAACTCAGACGTTCACAAAACACAATTTGACCTTCGACATTCCTTGAAGCTTACACTGTCGTCAACAAGTTCTCAGTGCTTGGGGTGCTCACAGGGTGACCATTGATCTCTAAAAATTCTCCCACATTTTATGGCATTTTAGTGGTTACTGCATTTGGCCTGAAAGTGAGAAATCTAGATCTAACTCTGTCTTTCAAACTTTTATGTCTCAGACCAGTACCCTTACCGTTGGGCAACTTGTGCTGTAGATGCTGTGCTAGGGAACGTTAAAGATCAAAATACTCATGGAAACCACAGAGCAAAGAGAATAATCTGTAGCCTTCTATGTAGGTCTCTTAGTAGAGGATGGCAGAAGTCCTTGCGTCTGCTCTTTTTTTCTTACTGGCTTTGGTCCAATCTAATTTTTCATGTAATATTTCATGATTTCTGGGATGGGCTTGGATAATAGAGCTGAAGAGAGACTGGACTCCATAATTAACTGATACCTGTACATAGTATAAGGAACAGTTCTTTCCTAAAAACTAATTTAATGGGTTCTCCCACCCTGTTTATTCTAGTCTCCTTAGTGTCGCTGTGGCTGTTAGAGCTTATTTTTGACTGGGTTAATTCTCTAAGCCAGTTATTCTGTAGAGAGCAACAGGGGAGTTGTGGGCTACTAAGCCAATACTGTTGCCAAAGGAAATATTTAATCAAGCCACAGCTTAAGAAACAACTCATTGCAATTATTTTCCCCTAAAATGTTCCTTACTTAATGAGGTTGGAAGGCTTATTGGGAGTTAGGGGAATTCAGAACTTGTACGTAATTCTCATTTCCCATGATCTTCCCGCGGTCTCCCGATGATCCCATTTTGCCAGCTCTGAGGAGTGGGAGTTTGTAACTAACTTACTTGTTTCTTTGTCTTTGAAAGCTTCATCTGAAGACAAGGAACTGAAAGGAAATTTTACTGAGCTTTCTATACCAGAATGGCTGAAGAGTGTATTAAACAACCCTTATTAGAGTTAGTATATCTCTATGCATAAGTATAATTTATACCTCAAATTATATTTAATGACAAATTAGAGAACGTATAGAGGCTTGAAGTTCAGAAGAGCAACTGGTATGTATTTTAGTAGTGTTCCTTATGCTTTTGTGTAGTTTCAAATAGCCGTTTTAGATTCTAGTTCTAATTGTTGAAATCAAAAGATCACCTATCTAAATGGTAGTGCAATTACCTTCCATGTAGCATTACAGCAGCTATTTATGTTAGTTACAGTGGTATTTTGTACGAGAATGTAAGGCATGAATTTCAATGTTGATGGTTTGCCACTTGTTACTTGTATACAGAGACTTTCACATTGGGAAAAGGCTTTTCTAATTTCAACAATTTAAATATCGCTATTTCAATTTATGCACTTAGGTAGTAGAGAGAGTACAATGTCAGCTTATTTTTCAGGCCATATTCCCATTTTGTTTACAAAGATGTACATTAAAGTCCATAGATTTTGCCACAGAAGTGCTCAGGATTTCAGGTATATTAACTGATACATTGAGGAGATGCTGCAATGAACAGTTATCTACCAAGTTAGTATTTGCTAACCTTTAAAAGTGATATACAAATAAATATTACTGTTTTTCTTGTTTGGTTTAGCCATAATTTTAGTGAGTCTTATGTTTTGTAACAAATGTTCTTGTTTCACTTGAATCTCATCTTGAACCAAAATGTCTACTCTGCTTCCAGAAAAGCAAATTACATTCAGCAGGTTTAGGTATCAAAACAAGACTTCTAATATTAAAACTCAGCTATTTTTTCACTCCTGTCAATTGTTTTTAGCTTCAGTTTTCCCAAATCACACTTTCAATGGCAGTGCCTGATGAAAGTACTGCTGTTATACAGGCGCAAGATAAAGATTGTTTGCCGGCTACACAACTAGCACCAATGATCTTACAATATAAAGGTGATGCCAGAACAAACACGGATTCTCATTCCTTGTCAACTTACCTCAGTTACAGAATGAAATCCTTATTTTCAGAAAGATAGACAGATACTTGTCTTGCGCGTGAGTAGTATATGGGGTGGGATGAAGAAAAGAAATTAAGGGAAGGACATGCCAAATGGATAGAATAATGAAAAGATGACAACCTCTGTACACCTTAGCAAGAAGCTATGAAATGTAAAACAACCTCTATGAATAGGCACCAGGGAACAAATCTTTCCCAGATAATGAAAGACGAACCTGCACATCCACAATCCACCTACTAGCTAGGGAACAAACTGGGCTGTAAAATGCACCAACGGCTGGAATCACTGAATCAAAGCTGAATTAAGCTATTGTTTTACAAATAGTTAAAGGAAATACACAATCACAGCACAAAAGTTAGAGCTTCACCATTCTCTCCAGCATGTGAGATGCCATGGAAAACTCTTTCGTCTCTTCAGTGACGTACAGTATATATACTTTTTAAATGCACCTGGAGTAATGGAAAGTTATTTTTCAGCACGATCAAATAAGTTTGTATAACATGTTTTAACTTCATTTGAATACATATCAGATTGGCAGGGGGCGGCTGAACAACAATGCAGTAATCTTTTTCTCTTTAGACGTTGCTAAAGTTGCATGTCCATGGTTAGTTTTAATGATCTTCAGAGGCATTTTATCAATATGAACATACTTGCTGTCTTCATGATCTCTTAAACTTCTGAAGTATTTTAGTTGTTACTATCATCAGTTTGCAGCATGAGAAGTGATGTGTATGTCACTGGGAGTTTAACAATTTAATATTAATTTTCTGGTTTACCATTACATGTTCCTTTACCATCAAAATTTGTATGAATATTACACCATTATTCATTAAGTTTAAATTTTTTAGATTATGGCATTTGGTAGTGTCAGCTTGTGTTGTTTCCGGGAGTCTTTCCTGAGTATTTTCTGCAGGTGAGTCAGATACTTATTTTTTTTGTATCCTAATCTGTTCAGTGGTTCTTGTGCAGTCTGCAAGGGAACATAAATGAGGGACAAACAAAAGTGTTACCCATAGGCATGCAAGAGGTGGGACTAAAACTAAAAGAATAAACTCTGAGCCATACAGTATTGTTACACAATTCTAGAACTGAAGGGATTTGTCTTCTTTTTCTTTCAGCAATAAGTCATAGTGAAGAATCATAGCTGAGTTGCAACAAGGCAATTATAGCTAGAAAAAATTGCAGTGTCTAACTGTGAACTTGGAACAGGCTGAATAACCTTACAGGTTTGATCTTTAAGGCGATAAAAGCTGCTGAGATAATCAATGCCTATTGAACTCCGTGTTTACTCAGTGCTTTTATGGTTAACAACAAAGCAAGTCATAGCTGCAGATTGTTCCAAGGAGTATCATGAGTAATGAATCTGACACAGTGCTTGTTGTCTGTTTTGTGCAATAATGAGTTCCAGGAACTTCTAAGCTGCGTTTTCAGCAGTTCATCTGTTGCAGTTCCTCACATCTTCTCTCCTCAGTCAAAAAAGAGCACAATCCATATGTATGCAGAACAGAAAGTCAAATACCACACCTGATTACTTAGTAGCACCCTGCAGTTTCCACAGTAGAGCCAGCAGTGAAGCTGTTAAAAAGTAGTTCTGACATTGCTATGTCTTTGGCACTCACCTATCCTAACTTGTCAAAATTACTGTACAACAGAGACTCTTCTATGCAAAACACACACAC